GCTCCTGCACGAATGAGAGACAGCTTTTGAAGGTTCAACGCAGACCAACTTGGTTAACGCTAGTGAAGACGTCGCCAAGTGTAAGGCATTTCCACAGCCGTTCAAGGTTGATCGGTTGCGTTGTAAAAGTAAGTATATTGAATATTTTCTAGCCATTTATAGATCAGGTGGCACTATAACAATGCTCTATAAGATGGAGCTTCACATTTAATCGTTGTTGTTTTCAATCACATTTTTCATGAAACGTTTGCAGCTTAGAGGCGCTCCCACTTGTTCTATCTTTCATCCTATGCAAAGCAAACCCATCATTGTTCCGGAGTTGTTACAGTATGACCCACTTTGTCTGACATGGTACGCCTGAAGACAGTGTCGATCATGTGCATATTCCGAGGCCCATGCTGCGCGATTAATTTTTCGGGAATAGCACATGAAATCGCTGCTCGCAGCGCGAACGCAAAAGCGGCGTGTGATTTTCGTTATTTGATTGGGGTCTCTTTTATACTTCGGAAAAATTACTATGTTTTTCGCGCTACTGTGGTATTCCTTCTTCTACAACCTTCTCATGCCTTTAGTGGACATTAAGCTCTTATTTGGGTGAAAAAGCACTAGTACGTCAAAAAGCAGTGACAGTTCGTCGATGACTGTTGACAATATTTTTCGACGTAAGTGCACTGCACTGGTTGGGTTTTCTACGGATTTGTAGTAGGGATCTTGTCCTATCGCTCTCTAGGGGGAAGGGGGATTTGTTTTATATGTTTTTTATATCACCAACAAAGCCGTTATGAAGTTTGAGCAACGGAGGGTGAAAGGTAATATTCTCTACGTTGCTACAGCGTACTGTGAAGGCCTCTCAAGACAGAAGGCTTAGTGCTAGACTCGGCATTTTTCGAGCTATTGAAAATCTACTGATAGTTCAGTAAAATGGCTTTGGCGTGCGAAAAATATTCCTTGTGAGTAAAATGTGCGAAACAATACGCAATGTCCTTAGGGGGATAATGCTGTCTACTGCCTAACGCTTGTTTTCAGAGATAATCGAACATGATGTTTTACCTTTTATCCGTTGTTACTGTTATTGTTATTCCCAAGCATTATTGTCGCTAGTATTACTATCATTGTTGTAATTTATCGACTCTCAGGAAAGCATTCTTCGATCCAGAGCCACGAAAAAGGCTAACCGGACTCACAAGGAATTCATGTGTTTGAGGTTTCGTGTAGGAATCGACAGTTCTGATGGGTCATCTACATATGAGGTTTACCTTTCAATTCTTCGCCCCCATTTATTGCTTTTACATTCCGCTGAGATCTGCATTGTACGGTTCCATACGAAAATATGTCTAACAGATTTCAGCATAACGAAATCTGCGAGGCCAGCTATCCTTCATATTCATTGTATTTTTCATTCAGTTGCCATCTGAACCTTTTTTGAAGGACCTACCTTATCACAATTCGAAAGGACGCTTTCCGACGGCGTTATTCGAGTACTTCGAGAAGAGGATGCCTTCCCCTCGTATTTGAACCAGTGACGAGCCTCGTCGAGACGGTTTGCTTTCAACCAAATACTATGTCAGTATTTCTATAATCTCGAAAGTTAATCAGTGCTATAATCGCATTCAAGATCAGTGATGTTCTCAGATAAATGTTCCACGTTGTGTTTATATCCAAAGGAGAGCTCAGAAGGAGAACCTAAAAGAGGACACATCAAACATACATGTGCGTTTCACTCGAACTGGAAAGAAATCTGTTCCGAAGTGGCAATTTTGACAAGGGCTTCCATCGAATAAGCGACAAAAGGCAGTGTCAACGACATCTTGAAGTTGACTCGCTGTCTCAGAAAGATGTCAGAATTCTCGCTCAAAAACCAGACCTTGTCTGTTTGTTATGAGTAACAATTTTTTCAGTTCGAGCTAAGTTTTGAGTTCCAATAAGCTTGATGATTACGAGCCATGCATGGAGTTTGATATGGGCACTTGTGCGATGCAATACACATATCTCGGCCTTGCAGCCTCGTCAGTTGCAGTGTGCCTTTCGTCTGAGTCGATTCCTCTTGAGGGAGAACCATTTTTTATAGGATAACCGCAATCGTGATATTTACATGTGCCGTCAAATGGTGAACATCACCAAACGTTATACTCGATTACTTTTGGCTCGTAGTTATGAAATATCATACCATTCTCATTCGTTTTAAGTGTTTTTCCATGACAGGCCTGATTTCATTATGCCTGATATTATTATTTGAATATTGCGTCTGCAATTCCTGTTTGTTAAGGGTTCTCCCCAACAAGGATTGGCTCACACGAAAAGCAGCGTGCAATTGACGAAGCTGCAAGACCGAAATGCGTGTATTGCACTGTACAAGTGCCCATGTCAGGCCACTTGCATGGTCGGGGATGATTATCAGGCATATTGAATTTTTGAGCGTGTTCTTGAGAAAGCACTCAAAACGAATGGCATGATTCATGCGTTGTAAACGCTCTTTAACCACAGTGTGTGGTACGGCACTGCCACGATTCATATATGAATCACCTGGTCGCTATGTTAATACAAATAATTCCTCAGTATCTTCATTTTCCATGTTATTTTGAACGTAGATTTGATAGTACTCTCCAGTGAAGCTCATCGCTGGCCTCTAACACGTTTTCACATAAACTTAGAAATCCTAATAGCTGTATTCTCATTTTGTTGACAATTTTCTTAGGTCATCATGGAACGGCAGCCTTTGCAAGATAATTTTCTTGCTTGACAAGATTTTCTTCCGTGAAATCCCGAAGCAGCCAATATGAGTAACCTTCCATGAGATTACTCTTAGCTTTCTTTTGGATAGAATGCGTTCTGGTACTGGGTTTGATCACTCTGTTTGAAGTGCCAGTTCATTCCAAGTGTGCCACAGTTCTGTAAGCTATACTATGATACGCTTGTTAAGTGCAGCATCTCAGCTTGCTCAGATTCTCTGTGCTAGTATTTTGCGCATCACTTTTGTTGGATACTGAGCCTGAGTTTCTGCGTGAAACTCCATAAAATCAATCGGTCGTGTAGCACTTAGATTTACAGTACTCAATTTTTAACAGGTCGGACAAGCCTGTGAACTACCGCTGTACGGGATGCAATCAGCATTTCCACGTGATGGGCATGACATCAGCATGCCATTGCAGAAAGCGTAGAAAATAGAGCGTACGTTTATGACTTACACTAAATCTGATGTCTCGGAATGGGTTATTTTTAGGAGCGCGCCACACTCAGGACGGCCCTGGTCTCGAGCAGCTGCTCAGCGTGTTGCTCAGCTTCGTGGAGCAACACGCAATTCCTGTATTCGAAGTGGAAAAAGTGACTGAGAGGGCTCTTTTGCCGACACCGGCGATAGAAGTGGTAGGTGACTGAGCAAGTGGGAACGGAGGGTTGACATGTAAGAACATATTAGATCCGCTATGGCGCTTGTGTTGCTTGAATTGCTTAGGCGTTCTGCCATTATTATTGACTAAATAAATGTAGCAGATTGTGGTAGTCGTCCTATCACGCAATTTCTTTCGTAAAAGTTTTACTTGAACTACTCTCATGGAAAAATGAAGTGTAGAGCGTTTGAGCTGGTTAGTATTTGGAGAATAGGTCGTGCAATCGACTTAATAAATACTGTAGAGGTTTGAGGGGCTATACTATAATTTTTGGTGTCCTAACGATGTATGACTTCGATGCAACTATACCTTCAGATATATCTTATAGCATTTTCCAAACCTTGGCGCGATGAAAGGCTTTGTTAGCTAGGGGCGTGAGATTGAACCAACTTTATCTCGTGTGTTTCAAAGAACCGCAGACCGCAGCGCTAGACTCTACTCTCTCTATAATCACTTGCCGGGATCATAGGAAGCAAATGTCTCTTAGTATTCGTAGTGCAGAGATATCTGTTGTTTGAATTACAAATAGGTATCCCAGTGTCTACCATTAGTTGTTACTTCTTTGGCATTCTGTATAGGTCGTTTCAGACCGGAACACAGAATTCATGCTATCACCGTCAACGTGCAATGACGGCACGCCAAGGACTGCAGTTCCAGATAATTACGAATCATGGAGTCAGGAAGTTTGAAGTAACTGTGTAATCATCTTTGAAGAAACAACTTCAAAAGAAGTGGTTTGAAATTAGCAAAACGAAAATTGCACCGATTTCCAATCTTTTTTCTTTCAAAATCACTACCTTTTAGGCTATCTATTAAGTATCACAATTTTATTAATAAGCTGCTAAACTCTAGCAGAGAACAAATTGCGTGCTGCAAGTAAAATATAATTTTATGCTTACTGTATAGCGCATTAGCGAGAGCTCTCAAAAATCAGTGACGGTATCGGAAATTCCAAAATCTAAGCTACCGAATGATAACTTTAACTCCAAAGAGAGCAAAAAGGCTCTGTTCCGATAAGGTGATACAGCACAGTTTTAGCTGGTAATTAACAGTATTCTTCAAACTTAAGACATTTTTTTCCTGGAATACTCAAAGGAGCGTTCTACCATTTTGCATTTTTCTGTCTCCTAGTTGGTACACTGAGAACGAAAACAGTGTAAGCAAAAAAGCTGCATCTTAATTTAGATAATTTCTTATTTACTTCTGCATCAAGAATGTCAGACTAAGAGGCTGCTCTTCTATTGCGGAGTTGAAATATTGGTTATATGCGGCTGTCAAGAAAAAGAGTATGAAAATGTCTTTATATGAGCTCGAAGGTTCCAGACTTTATGCTTGTAGAGCAAAAGACTACACGTTACAGATCTTCAGTAGTTCCTTTGTGATTTCAGAAGTGGTCGGCTGCACCACGCCGATGCACGCTTGAGCATCTCGCTCTGCAAAGCGTGACCGAACTAGGTGCGCATGTTGAATGAGGCCAATAATCTTTATAAATTTTTATTTTCTAACGTCTAGATTTGTTCAATAATCAATCGGAAATTGTCTTATTTGACCGCCTATTGCGGTGTTATGATGTTTGTATAAACCCAATGATGTAGAGTGGTGTGCAAGAACGTTTGCGTCAGCCGGAATTCGAACCCAGATCGTACTCTTTCCGGAAGCAAGTGCTAAACCGTCGCACCACTGACGCTCGATTTGCACTTTACTCTTTCTACGCTACAACGCGTTATCTGTGAGGTGTCGTGCAAAACGAGCGTCGGTGGTGCAACGTTTAGCACATGCTCCCGGAAAGAGTAGAATCTGGGTTCAAATTCCGGTTGACGCAAACGTCTTTGCACACCACTCTACATCATTGGGTTTATTCAAACATCATAACGCCGCAGTAGGCGGTCAAATAAGATGATTTCCGATTGATTATTTATCCTTTTTATTGAACTCAGTATCTGTCAACAAAAAGTGAGTTTAATGTCGATAATGACTTCCCGCCACACCGTAGACGGTTGGTTGGTGAGAGATAACGCGTTGTAGCGTAAGCGTGGAGTGCAAAACGAGCGTCGGTGGCGCAACGGTTTAGCACATGCGCTCGGAACGGATGGGATCTGGGTTCAAATCCCGGCTGACGCAAAGTTTTTGCACACCACTCTATATCATAGGGTTTAGATTTGTTTTTTCATTCTTCTTAGCATCAGTTGCATCGTATTAGCTACCGCAAACTAAAGATTTCCAGTATTTGCTTTGTCATTTCAGAATATGGTTGCCTACCTCTCGCCGACGCACGCTTCAACGTCTCGCTGAGCAAAGCGTGGCGAAGCTAGGTGGATATGTTAAATAGAGGGATGTCTTCATAAATTTTCATTCTTTAACATTCAAGTTTTTCTAGCGATCCGACTATAAACCGCAAGGAGAAATGCCTTATCATCACCCGTGAAATGAGTCTGTATATAAGACTGTTATTTTGATGGGTGGGGTGCATTACGAGCCTATGTGATCTCCCTCCGGTGATCTCCACTTGAATCATTCAGAGGATCACACGCAAAAAGCGGTGAGTATGGTGAGAGTTGATTTGTGCTTGATGCGATTGAAACCTAGGTCTGGTGAATTTTTCTTAAGGAGTAATGGAGGTGTTTGGCTGACTGGATTGTGTGCAATTTGACATTTCCAGGCTCTGAAGAAGGAGAACTGCCAAAATGTTAGCTGTCAAATAAAGATTAATGTAACACTTGTGTATGGTTCAGAGAAGAAAATCAGTAATTAAACTGAAGTTTGTCTGTTCATTCTTCTTAGCACCAGTTGCATCGTATTAGCTAATCTAAATTTGAGATCTCTAGTGGTTGTTTTGACATTTTAGATGAATTTCTACGTACTGGACGAAGTGCGCAGCAACATCTCGCTTTGCAATACAATCTGCTTGAGCAATCTACATACCTTCTGCGAAGGCCGACGTGTATTTTCACTCGAACTTGAGTGCAATCTAATGTGTTGTTTCCTTAAGCACCTTCTTATAAATCAGTTACTTTTCGCGTAACCTTTATGTATCTCGTTGAAATGCAGACGCCATTCTCCATGAATTTTCGATCGCTGTTTAGCTTTAAACCATGGCATCCGCTTGCACTCTTTGTTCTTTGCACGAATCGTTGTATTATTCATTTCGTGAAGACTATTCTATTGCTCTTACACGTGCTTTGCCAGAACTCAAAGTTGTTGCATTGCTTTTATTAGGATAAATTGTTTATTAAAACCGAAGAAATCGTTCTATAGCAAAATCATTAAGGCCTCACGTGGCAAATTAATAGAAAGTTCAGCATTCCTGTCCGAATCGGAAAGTTTTTAGTTCTGAAATCAGGCTATTAATCAAACTTCTGTATTTGGAACTGTCGATCAACTTCAGTGCTACTATATCGTCCTCAAACTACGGCCAAGTTCTGGTAAACCGGCCGCTCGAATAGAACTTATCATAAACTACATGTAAATACAATAACATTCTTGTGTGTTTCCCGCAAAAAAAACTACGTCTATTTGACATTTATCCGAGAAGAAAGTTGGTAAGGCCCTGGAATAGATTCTCAATACTGACGGCTAGTATCACAAAACACTCGTATTACTCATTTACTATTGATTTCGATCAGCATTCTGACATGTTGTAGACATTGTCACTACCTATATCACTATCTTTTATTTTGGCAGAAAGAAAAAAAGTAAACAAGCTATGTTTTGTCCAGCAGTCCCTTCTATGGCATATAGCGCACTCCAAAATTTGTCAAGCAGCATTGTCATTATTTCATCAATTTGGTACTTGATACTTTAGTTGGAGAGCCAGTCTTCACTGCTACTGCGAGCTCCACCATAGTTTTCACTTGTTTCTCTCTCGCCTAATTGTCGTCCATGCTGGTATACTAATTCCACTATGATGACTTACGCTAATCCAATCCCGTGATTCTAAACTCGTTACTATCTACGCGTGCAGATGCTTGGCGTGAGCCACAAACACATCCGCTTTTCGTTTAGAAAGTCTTCGGAAGATGCTTGAATACTCCTGAAGTCCACTTTAGTGCTCTTTTCTTCTATCTGCCGTCTATTCTTCACATTACGTGATCGGCCCATCCGTGTTCGCCATCGATGTATATAATCCTGTATCATAAAGATGAAATTGTTTGCGATGGTCGGAGCTGCGCAAACCGGTTAGACGTTGTGGCACAGATTGACTTCTAGGAGGCATGCGCCCTGTGAGTGGTACGCAAACTCCTTGATGTGATCGTAATATCAGCCCATATCTCTGCTGTTCATCACAGCGCTGGGACGACTGTCGAGTCGAAAACGTGGGCACGGAGTACGGGGTCCGCTGGCTGATTGGTGGTATGTATGAGAGGCTCTAATGCAGCTGTACTTCTTATCTTCTGTCTAATTTCTCCTTCATGTTGATTTCAACGTTTGTTGGACGTTCAAGGTACACATGCGAGTGTGGTCTGCTTAATCAGAGAGCCATCTGACCCAAGTTGATCACCTTTCCATTACGGATTCTTTTCGGATTAAGTCTTCATCGTGTTTATGCGTAGTCCAGTCATTTTTCCCTTTCCACTTTTCAATGAACATCTCTCATGCTTTACTGGCACACTTTGCAATGATGAAGTCATCAGAGAAGCGAAGATATGATAGAAATTTTCTATCAATTCGTAAAACGTTCTCGTTCATATCGCGCGACCTGTTATCAACTGTAGTGTAGGAGTCGATGGAAAAGTCGTATTCCTGTGGTACAATCTCATAGCAGTTAGATAACCTTGCAGTGTAAAACGATTTACGCCTTGATCGAAAAGCGCCAATAGGATTATAATTGTTCCCACACTGTCAAACGCTTTCTCTTTGTCGACAAGGTTTGAAGCAAGGGGCATAGTTTATTTTTGAAGGACATCAATGACCTCTATCACGGTTTGGATACGGTCCGAACAACGGAAACCCTTCCGTATTCCTGCCTATTCAGTTGATTGTGCCTCTTGCAGGATCTTCGATAAACGCAAGAGATTGATCGTCGTGAAAAGCATGCAAAGCACACTCAACAAGCTTAATGGCCACTGAAGACATTTTCTCATCCTTCTCAGGTATGAGGTCGTGCGTGAAATTCTTCACTGTTCTAGTATTTTTTTTTCCCTTGGAGATATGATGCTATATGTCTTTAGAGGATAACACACAGAGTGTGGCCATTAGCTCTGAAGATATCGACAGTGATATTAGTCAGCTAAGTAGATATGCCGCTCTTCAAGTTTCCAATCGCAATCGCAACTTGAACTTTGGGGCGGACAGTCTGGGTAGTTTATCAGTCAGGAGGAATTTCGCGGTCCGAAACGGGGCTTATGGTGCAAGGAAGATTGGTATAGATATTTCCACTATCAATTCCTTGTAATGATTTCAAAGAATAATTATTTTATCTTCATTCATTAGGGCTTATAGCGATAATAGTCTCAAAGATTGGTATTTCTTCAGATTGGGATCGTTTTTGTGTTGCTTCTAACAACTTTTTCGTCTATATCTATATAAATCGTCCTGCGAAAATGGGAGAGGGAAACTGTTGCTAGTTCGCCACATGTTTTAAGTCCTTTAACAAGCAACTTGCAGGTTTTGATCGTGTCTTTCCCTGTATACCAGTTATATGGAGAGGGATTTCAGCAAGAACGTCCTCTTCGTACACGATTTGTTTTGTTTTCTTGTATGATATCAGCACTTCTACTCTGGCTTATGTTTGGATCATCCTCACACAAGAGCCTTTGGGAGACTTTCATGCCCATTGGAGATTTTCTCTCTTTTCGAAAAAAAAAAATTCATAGAAGAGATGTGATGCGGTCAGGAGTCCTATGAGACCGCCTCCGTTCTCGTTTGGTTCGTTTGGTTTTCCCATTCCAAATTTTTCTATCCTGTATCCATTATTGCTGGACAGTCCTAATTTAGTAAAGAAGCCTTCAACAACGATTTGCGAAGGATTTCTCGTTGCACGACTTCTGCCTTCCTTACCCTTTGATGCGAAGATTGGATAAAGTGCATCCAAGCACGGTGATAAGATTTAGTACGAAATGGCTTTGTAAAAAATATTATCAGCGAAAATGCCAACTCCTCTGACATTTTGTAACGAAAACTTCGCTATATGAGTAACTAGAGTTCTGTCGTCTGATTGTCTTAGGTCGGTTTTGCACTATTCGCTTCCTACTGAGCGATCATATGCAATTTGTTGTGACCATCAGCCTTAAAAATTGCGCATAGGTCAGCATCTGAGGAAAAAATTTTGGTGTCATAGGTGCCAATCAAGAACCAACCACCATCGTCTCGTAGGCATGTTCATCTTGTTCTTTTCAATGACGTCCCGCTGAGTTCGAAATTTGATATTCTCTCAGTGGGCTGTTTCACCGCCCGAAGTCGTGGACGGAAGCCCGCAGTATGTGGGTACTGAGGCAGAAATCTTTTCGCTTGTTGAGCTATTTTTTCCCTGAAAATCCGAGGTTAGAATAACCACTATCTTCTTTAGATTGTCACCACATTATGAGCAGTCGCATGTCATTGTAGACCTGAGTGCACCGTCTTGCGACTAACACCTGCCAAGACGAAGGTAATTTATGATACGGTATACTCCCAGCTGGGCTTTCCGGGTGGAAGTGCCGGAATTTAACGTAGTTTGAGAGGCCCCGCGGGGAGAAATCCCTGTTATACTTCGCAGTTCCGTACTTAGGAATTTTTCCCAGCCACGACGAGTCGTTAGATTGTTTGGGAGGATTCCGTTAACAAGAATCAGTAAGTAAGGTACATTTAGAACACACATAGGCACAGAAACACTCAGTCAATAATATTGATGATATTTGAATAAAATTCGTGTTCAAAGAAAATGAAAAACTTCTAGACATGAAGTTTCTGCATTCCACAGTCTTGAAAGTATTAACCAATAATTGCCATGTCACCACTATAAACACTGCCGTAACAAAATTCTCTATCATAACCACCATGGACTCCATTGTACTGATGGCGATGGCCCTGAGCGCAGTTGATAAAGATGAAATGTTTGCTTCTTTCGAACGTGAGTTGTTCTCACATAAATTTTGATCTGACGGTAGAAACGATAGATAAAACTTGGGCAGGTATCAATAATA